AGATTAAGTAAAAGTGAATGATGATAACTAAAGCAGTGAGATAAGGTTTTCGTATGCTTGATCTTAAGGACGAGAAAAAAGGGAAGAACACCACAGTGGGAAAAGATAGAACTAAAAGCACAAAATTAGAGCATATTTAAGTGTGCTTCTTAATTAACTATGGAAATCAATGTCCAAAGCAGCAAAACATACTGCACGTTTTCTATTCTTTGCTTGCATTATCCACCAATACCGTCTGCTAACCTTGTGGGCTCTTCTGGAGGCTGCCTGATTCCTCCTAACTCTGATGAAGCATAAGGAGATGATAGCTAGAAAGATGAAGAAATTTCCTTACATTACCTCATTCTCCTACTGCTTGACCCTAAAGTAATTTATAATACGACATTTTAAGAAAGATGTCAGAGAAATACGCAGAGACCTTAAATTTACAGCTGGGCATTTGTCAATGCAACATATAACATAATTCTCTTTCATTAGCTAGTTGAATGATACTGGATTTGGTGAAATACCTTCATATATGGTGTGCATATTCTGTATGAAATTACCAACTCTGTAGTTCAGTAATCTTCAATCATTTTCAAATTTTTGGCTCTAAAATTTTCCAATGTAAATGCAGACCCCTGCAAAGCAAATTTAGCTGTCGGCTGCTCTGGCAATTGCCTCATTTTTATTTGTTTTTTTTGCAAATACCTGACTGCCAGTTCACAGCCCAAGAGACATTCACTGACTGCAGGCTGAAAACAGCAGCATTTTTAAGGGTTTCTTTAGGCGTCAATTAATAATTTTAATAGTTATTTGAATTGTTAAGAAACATATTTATTTGAGTGGCTAAATGATGCAAAAACATAGTCCAAAGTTAAACATTTTACCTTTTGGATCCACAGATAGCTTTTACTAATTTGAATATTCTTCAAGTACATTCAGCTAAGAATAAACTGTGTCTGTTAAGATACTGCACAGGTCTTTAACAATGAAGGAAAGTATAATGCCAGCATAGAGCCATACTGATGATGATTTGTGATATAGAAAAAAAAATGTGTGATATTCTTAAAACGATTTATGGGTGCTTAGAGAGAGCAAGTGAGATGGTGTGTGTGCATGCTGAAGGATCAAGTGTGTACTAACAAACAGATGAGACAACATACTAAGTCTAGTGATTGAAATAAAGTGCTTGAAAATAAGGTAGATGTTTGGAATTAAGCATTAGAATAGTGAGAGAAAATGATATAGTGTCATAAATACTTATAAATAGCTCAAATAGAGTTTGGTTTAGGCAATGTATCTGTTTAAAAGTTCAGAAATGAAGCTATTAAGAAAAATTAATTTAATTCATTTTAATCTCTGGTATGCTTAACATGAAGGAAACTAAAGTACTGTTATACATCTGCCTGTTCGGGAGATACGTATACTTCTTTGATTTGTATGTCTCTAGGCAAGAAAATTTGTAGAGACAAATTATAAAATGTAAATAAGGTTAGAAAAAATATTTATTTTGTACAGTGGCAAACCACACAATAAGAATTTGCAAGATGGGCAGGACTAACCCTGAAACTCCATCAGATGTAATTTACAAAACCAAAAAGGTCATAAGTAATAAATGTAAAAATCATCTCCCCCAGAGTTAGTTTTAGGTGATCCTAAAAGATGAAGATGAATATTAGGATGATATGAACATGAATAATTAGGATGTAAATTAGGCTGAAAATCCCTGAATGTTTGATTAGTGATTTAGCACAAACTTAGTCAGGTATCTCTGTGCTACTTTGTTGCAGTTGAATTAAAACTGATTCCAGAGTTTTTCTCTTCTCTTGAACCTTTTATATGGCCTTTCCATTCTCAAGTGTCTAAGAGCATCACAAGAGGGACGGTTCCATTAGATTATCTGTGGATTAGAAAAGACAGTCTCATAAATTGAAGGTAAAACTAATCAAATGAATAATAATGAAACTTTTTCACTATAGAAGATTCTATATTAATATCAAATTGATTCTCTGCTCTGTTAAAATGAAGAAAAAGCATCAAAAAGGAAGGTGGTATAGTTTGGTTGGCATTTAAATGGTTGAAATGCAAAATTCCAGCTACTTCATTGTTGTGAGTTGCATATTTCAAGGAGTTGAGGGGGAACTCCAGTGCCAAGATTCATGTAATAATTCTTAAAATTCTTGAAAAGCCATTTGGTGTAACTGAAGCCAGAAGGTTTTAAGCTGAAAGAATGCTCAGTGTTATTGTAGGTAGCAGTACAACTACGTTTCAGGCCATTAAAAAATACTGAAGTATATCTTGATGGTGTACAACTGAGGCTTAAATTAAATTCATATTCAAATAAATAACTTTCAGACTGTGTTCCACTTTTTCAACTGCTGAGTTGAGAGTCATCCTTCTTCACTGAGATGAGACATACAGTAATTGGTATCTTAAACATGCCTCCTTCCTCAGCCCTCAAGGCCTGTTGGATCATCCACCGGGATGGTTATGGTCTAACTGAGAATTGACTGCACGTTTTTTAATAACATAAGTGGAATATTAGAATAATTGCGCATTGTTTCCTGAACCGAAGCAACAATGTCTTAAAAGAAACCATGAGACCTGTTTCATTGCAGAACCATACTTTTTGTCTTCATTAGTTTCTTCAACCTATGATAAAAAAGTGGCTAATACCTTGTTTTCAAGAACTGCATGTAGCTGAAGAATATTTCCTAAATAGATTGACTAGAATTTATATTACACAGCATTTTCAGATGTAAGTTGAAAGTTAAATTCACATAGAAATGGTTCAGATAAAGAACCTGTAATGTGGTCAGGATTTCTGAAATTATAGCAGATATTTTAGAACTTTTAAGTATTAGTAGGAAGAAGTTAAGACAAATATGTCTCGGTTAGTGAAATATGCCCCCCTTGTAAAGGGCCAGCAAAGAATTTCTCATCACCCCCCAAAAAAGAAAAAAAGAGAAGACAAAACACCATAGATTTTCCTGTTGATCATAGTACTCCTTCACAAAAAATGTACGTGCTCTTCTTTGTTCCGTGTGTGATAAAGTGGACCAGAAGTTTTTAAAGTTTGTGTGATAATCTCTCCCCATTTTAGTGAACAGTAAACTGAGCACAGACTCGAGTGGATTAATATTTTGTTCTCTAGTTTTTCTTGCCTATGTGTTATTAAGCAACTACATGATCTGCAACTATGTGTATAATGCTAATGCCAGAGTTTGTACTCTTGGCAGAAGTCCAGCAGAACCAAACTTTTTTCACAAAAGTAACCAAGTATTAGTCAACCTATTTTCTTAATGAACTTATTAAAGTTACTAGATAATGCTACATTAGTGGCTGGCTTTTCTTAACAGGGTAGAAATATATGTGGATTTTTTTTTTTCTCTTGTTGCAGTTTCCTCAATTAATTCATTTTTATGCTTTGTAACTTTTGAAAGCAGAAAACTGAATGATTCTCATGACATTCTTTCCAACTCTTTTTCCTACTTGAAGCATAGCAGCAGCACAGGAGATTTCCAGTCTCTTACGCTCATGGATGTGAATCTTAACAGGCAAATTTTTTAGAAAGTAATTTTGCCTTCCATTCCAATTTGCATAGTCTTGTGGATTCCAGGATTGTTTGGGTTTTCTCCCCACAATATTTTGCAAATTATTTTTTAATATTTGTAATAAGTTTCTGGAAAACTTGAATATAACCACTGATTCATAAGAGCGACCCTATGCCTTATACCTTGTGCATGTGTGAGAAAGTACTTTGGGCTACTAGTGTGTTTCTAATTATTGTCTAATTTAGTACTGTAGATGATGTCTATATTGAAGAGGTGTTGTTAATACTTGTATTTCCTTGATGTTGCCTATTGGCATCTGCCTCCTTTCACCACCAGTGTTCACTTTTTTAAATCCTGTTATTCTTCATTTGACTTTTCTCATTCTATGTGTATGAAATTTGGAAGTCTCAAGCCTGAATCAGGCTGCTAATCTCTGATGAAGTGTGAAAATGTTACCATTAACATTTCTAAATCCTTTTGCTCAGGCTCTGCTTAATTGAAATTGAACTGAAATTTCGGAAGTCTTAGAGCATTTTTGTCTAATTTTGAACATTTCTAACATTGTATTACCTGTGTTTGTAAACAGAAACATCATTCTTAAAGTTTGTACTCATCCTGTTACCTAGCCCTGGGGTAAGCAATGCTTAAAAATTCGACCTTGTTCAAGAATCAGTTAACTCTGGTGAAGTTCGTGTTTCCTGGAATTGTGAGGTACAGCTCCCATGTTGCACTCCTGCTTCAGTATGGTATTCAGGCATACCTCCCCTTCAGAACAGATGTTATGCACAGTAGTAACCATTCCTTTTTGTTTATACAGTTTCAAATAAACAATTAAGTGAATGGTTTAAGATCTTGCTACATTAGTTAAATTGTTCTATCATTATGTACTTGTTCACATTTGTAACAGTTATAATGAGACAATAAAACACTGAAAGTGACTTGAGGACTTTGCCTCTGAGATGTTTCTCTGCGAAACTATTAAGCAATATGACACTAAAGAGGGAGCTAATGTCTTATCTAAAAGCAGAGGAAGATAAAGTAGTCCAACTGCTTCGGTTTGCATCAAATAACCAATGAATTGTGTGCAATAACACTGAATGATTTCTGGTTCTTATAGTTTTCATTTTTTAAAATAGTTTACTACCAATATACAGAATATTGTAGGATATTGGGGAGCAGCTATTTCCATAACTGTCCAAAATTTGTGTGTCCTACTTGACGACTTGTCCCTTAAAGCTTTTTGAACCTTCTCTCCTTTTTTGTCTAGAAGGCATAAAAGAAAATCTTACTACACATTTTTGCCACAGGTGGGTGTATTGGTGCAGCACAGATTGTAGTATGCAACTTTATATAGAAATACTTTCGTGCATTTTATGAACTTGAAAGCTTTAGTTCGTAGATGTACCTTTGTGGCTTTTTGAGGTATCCACACATCTGCTGTTTTCCTTGACAATGGCAATCCAGATGCTGCTATCACCATGGGAATGGTACTCCTGAATGAAGCTGCTACCTCCAAAGGGGATGTTGGAAAAAGGAGAAGTAAGTTATTTAGTACAACTAAGTCAATGTTTAGACAATTAGAAGACATTGGGAAATTACAAATTAATATCTAATTAAATTTTCAGAATGAAAATTCACGCTTCATTCACGTGAAGTTGTAACAGTAGAAATATGTTTCAAGCATACTCAGCCAAGGTATATCTTGAAACGGTATCTCCACTACATAGTACTGCATAAATGCTTTTTGGCTCTTGAATTATATTGAAAGTCAGGGACATAAAGAACAAGAGTTTGAAAACATATTTTTCAAAATTAATTTAGGCATTTAAGATGTGTAAGATGACAACATCCAAAGGAGTGTGAAAACTCTTTTACTTGGTGCACTTTGCCACTACCATGTCTCCAGAGGAAGGTGAAAGCCCAACAGTAGATGTAGTACAGAATTTATCCAAATCTGTAATATCTAAAGATTCTTAGTCTAAAGTGCAAGTTTTATTTTTTTCTAAATGTTGTTGTCAATCAGAATATTTGCAAGATTTTTTGGCAATGAATTGCATAAACACAATATGAAAGTATTTTATCCAGATTTAAACTTCCTAACTGTTATGTCGAACAAACTTTTACTGAGTATGACATGGGTTGAAACAAATATGCCCGTCTGCCTTTGTACCTTTTAGAATATTTTTTCATATCTCCTGCTGCTTACTCTTTTTCTCATTTAAGACCTTTGAAAAATGCCAGCCTTCCTACACTGCTTCTCCTTTCTTTCTAGAGCAGTTCTTTAGCTTCTTCTGTGTAATACACCGTATTGCAGATAGGGCCAGACAACTATTTTCTATAAAACCATTCTATAATTCTTCATAATCAGTGGTTGAACAGTGACTAGAGCTCTAATCTATAGTGATTTGAGGGTCTCAGTTAATGAGCTGTATATGTATGATTTAATTCTGAATGTCTTTTACAGTATGTAGCTTTAATACTGATGTCAAAAGAGACAGTGACATGAGTTTAATTGGAATATGACATTAGATCACGATTGAGATCCAGGTCTCTGAACATAGACACAGCAAAATAACAGTGGGCTGCATTACAAATTCAGACTCTGTTCTGCTTGTGGCCGTTACGTGAATGCTTTCCGTGTACCTGCCTTGCATTGTTCATGCTTCGCAATTTATTCATCCATGCTTTGAAATCATATTTGTGAGTGGTGATTTCTTTATAATGAAGTGTGTTTATAAGATTTGTACAGGGCTAGTTTTCTCAAAATAACTGCAGAAATTTTATATTTCAATTGACATATGGCAGTTTCCACATGGTCAGTTTAAATGAAAAAATGTGTCATTGTCACTTTCCCTGGCTTCATGGTTGCTCATCCTTCACTCAAAGCCAGCACCCTTTTGAAGCACGAATATTGCAATTAACTAGCAAAGGTTTGGCTAAAGTAGGACTAATATAAGAAGAGAAGCTTTTAAAATCAAAGTAGCTCACCAGAACCAAAATATTAGCTGATGTATATGAGCTGCATCTCAATTATATGCATCAACTTGTAACATGTTGCCTTTTTTTTTATTTATTTACTTGCAATTGAGCAAGCTATCATGATCAAAAAGTTTTTATGCTATTATTACAGAGGATGCCAACTGATGTTCCAAATTTTGTTTGTTAATTAAAGCATTTACTTTGCTAATTCATTCTTTGCCTGAAAAGGCTCAAAGCACTTGCATCTGGATACTATTGGAAGGTCTGCGTCACTGTTGTTTATCTTCAAAACCTAGAGATTTCTATTGCTATCAAGAGTAAAAAGTGATTTGGCCAGCAGCCTTGGAACTTACAACAGTGAAATGTTTTAGCCACTAAGAACTACATAAAGTAGTTACTAAACTGCCTTTGCTGTTATTTCAGCCTTAGATGGTTGACTAGAGAGAATGTGATTCCATTAGTCAAGGGATATTTTTCTAAATGTAATTTGTTTTCCAAAAAAAGAACAAGCAAATACCTGAAATTACATTGCTCGATATGTGTAATTTACAGGGTTATTAAATCCATTATCAGCAGTAAGGTGTTTGCATCCACATACATTTGAGTTGCAAATTGCTGCTCTTTTTTCTTGAAAATACATTCACACTGACAAGTTATTTTTTCTTAATAACTGTGAATATTATTTCCATATGTGTTTGAAATCATGTCAAAAGATACTGGGCATCAGTAGTCAAGGCAGTAACATTTTTATATTTAACTGTGTCGAAATTTTCAATAAATGATTGACATAATATTCTTTGTAGAGATTCCAATTTTATTTTTTTTTATGTGCTAATAAACAAAGTTATTTTCTTTCCAGTAATATGTCTGGTAGGCTTGGGTCTGGTGGTCTTTTTCTTCAGCTTCCTGTTGTCGATATTTCGCTCCAAATACCATGGCTACCCATACAGGTAATTTCTCATTAAATTCTCATCTTACAGATTTTAATAGCTTTGTATAAGTCTAGGAATAGCTTTCAGGTAAACAATCTTTGATTTTTACTGCTGAAGGCTATGGGAGCTGGAAGAAGCAGGAAGAATGGTGATTAATTCAAGCAAACCAAAAAGGGCTGGAAAGCTAATGTTGTTAACATGACTATTAATGCAGACCAGTTAAATGGGTTTGAGCACAGATGTGTGGCATACATAGTGCCCCATGAAAAAAGCAAAAGAAAACACGTGCTTAAGTTTCTAAACATTTATTAGATATCTATTTGTGTAAGAGGTACATAGGACAAGGCACAAAAACACCAAACCAGTGTACAGTGCTAAGCTATGATGTACCACTAAAAGTACCCTCTTCTTTTGTAAGCCACACCACAAAGGAAAGAAAGGGTTATAGACTGTCTTAATTATATGTACAGCTGTCAATTAAACAGTTAAAATTTGTCTGAGAAGCAGAAAAAGTAGAAAATTAGTAAAGAAAATACAGTTCTTGCTTTTTGTAAGTGGATGCTTTCAGCTGTGAGGTCACCTGCAGAGGTAGTCCAGACTTCTGATTCACATCTTCTTGCTGATCTGCTATATTTATTTTTTTTAGTAGCCTGTCAGGAGCAGGTGGCCCGTAGCATTTTCTTGTGATCCTGGTACCATTTTCAGAGGTACATGAAAAAGCCTAGCTAGAGGAAGAGGAAAGGTGCAATTAAGCAAATTGTCAGTGCTATAGTAATGACGGACCTGGCTACTGAGGTAAACACAATACAGTGACATTTCCCAAGTCACCAAGTTTATGGAACAAAACAGAGATCTCTTGGTTTTTTTCTCCCTAAGCTTTGTTTTGTAGGATGGCTAAATATTTTTCATGAGGAAGAGTCTTTTTCCTGTTGTTCTGTTCTCCAGGATTAGCAATTTTGTTCCATTGACTTTTTGATCCTATTTGAAACTATGCTTTTCTTCCCGTTGCTTCAGTCTTTGCTCCTTTCTAACTTTTTTTCCTGTAAAGAGAGAGATATATACACTTATGTATATGAATACATATGTATACAGTTGACAGTCTTAACATGCTATGCTAGGCTTTACAATAGAGATAATACGCATGAGTGCTGTTTTCTCCCGTCTAGTGGGCCACAGTGCCTTTAAAGAGATAGGATTTTCCTTATTTCCAGTGAAATTGGTTTCTATCAACTAGTAGACTAATCCTTCACAGAATATTAGTCTACGTTACTACTACCATGTATGGAAGAGTAAGTGGATGATGTGTGTTGCAATGTAGGTATATTAACATTTTGCTGAAAGATCTGGCATGATGAAATGTCAACTAATATATATGTAAGGGAAACACTAGTACAACAGGTTCAGAAAGTTATATTTTGAAGTAAGTAGAAAACAAAAGAACTGTATCGTTAACAGTTCTACTGTTTTTACAGTCACTGTTAAAGAATCATATGAGGAATACTTCTACAGTTTTTCTCAGATACTTCTTAGTGTTGATTTCTATGACTCGGTCTTATGACTAGTGCAGCAGCCAGCTTTATATTCTGTGCTATGTTCCACCGGTAAGGATTCAGCCTCGCAAAGCCAACTTAGATCTAACGTTTGAGCTAATACATAAGATTTTTCTATTAGTTTTTGCTGCGAGACTTTAGAACTATTTTCTTGTTTACTGAGCTTCGTCTCTTTATGCAGATTAATTAATATTTCATTTAGATCACCTCAGATTAGTTTTAGCATTTAATGACATCATACTCAAGACAAGGAAACTCTTCCCCTTGCAATATGCGCAGAAGGTGTGCTCTTGCTTTTTACTCATTTCTGCGAAGGAAGGAGGTCTGTAAACAGCCCAATAGTATCACATAGCAAAATTTCCTCAGTATGGAGTTAATAGTTTGCCACGGTGGATAGTCTGTACAGCCTGTCATCATCCTCTCTGGAGACAGCCTTCTAGCTTGACTGACTGGGTGAAAGACAGGATCCAGTTTTCCTAATTGTGAGGTATTGTTACTTCCCATTAAGTGTTTAAGTCTTAATCTAAAGAAGGAATTATGAGCTTGATCTGCAGCTTGTAAGCTTGTTTGAGAAGCATGGCCAAAGAATGTCAATCCATGGTCTGAGCTCACTTGCACCTTCTCATAACAAGTTTACTAAAAGGAAAAAGCAGTAGTTCTTGTTGTGTTCCTTGCTATGCAATTTAACACCTACTAAAGAAAACCTGACAGTGGCATTAATTTCATTTTTAATTCTTTCCATTTGGGAACGTTCTTATCACCTATTAACAGCATGCTTATATGACTGTGCCAATTTTCAGACCTTGCATGGCTTTTGTGAATGCACTAGGGTTCTTTGACTGCTATATGATACCTAGGATAGCTGAGGTTGAACAGTGCCTTGTGAACATTAGTATGCTTTGTGAGTTGGCATGCCTACACGATACCACTGATGTTAGAGCAGACTGATTTGCTCATGTCTACTACATATCTTGTAGTATCACATATTGTAAGCTTTAAGAATCTTAATTTAAATAATGTAGGGGTTTTCCCTTTTTTCTTGCTAATCTGTTTGCTGTAAATTTTGGGTGGGTTGGATTTATTTATTTCCCACACACAAATATCAGACATCTTTTCTTTGGAGTGTCTAGCAGAAGTTGTAGCCCTGTGTAGATTTTGTATTCTTGTGTTAGTATCCAAGCTAAGAATAAAGGACATCAAGAATCAGGGTGGGGGGAAGAGGAAGAGAAAGAGAACTTCTGAATTCTATTAAAAGTTTAATTTCAACAAATGTAGTTTGATATGCAATGCATGTGGAAAAGAAGTGCACCTGTTAGTGTGTTAAAGCTGTTGAAGAAAGAAATAAAAGAAGTTCAGGATAGTGCTGAAAAAAGTGATTCATCACAATCCTCTTAAAATGAGATAGTGCTGCATCATGTTGTTACTATGAAGAAATTATTAGATCCATAAACCAAATTCTCTCTAAGGAGCTAAGCAGATTCAATATCACAACTTAGTAACACTCATCAAGTAAACTGATAAAAGAATGAACCCTGTGGATGTATAAGTACATGAGAAACATTTAATAGCTGGCTAAGTGTTATGTAGGTTTTTTTATAATGTTACTGCTCCTGCAGAATTAAGCAAGATCTTACAAGCTCTCTTGGTCTGTCCTAGATTCTTCATGTTTTCACAGGAATAAGTTAATCATTCAATCTGAAATCCTCACTCACGGCAGAATTACTGGAATCCGTCACTAGAACTGATCCTTTTGCTTTGCTATTAACAAATTTCATTTGCCAGTTTCCCGTATGTGTAATTTACTTACCAGGTCCTTTCCGGTGTTAAATCTTTCAGGCTTCTGTTCTCCTCTTGGTAGCTCTCACTCCATTTTCTGTTGCATTATTTTAAATAAACGTACTATTGATTCTTTGACACTTCAGTGATCTCAACCATGTCATCATCATGACAACGCCATAGTAAAGATTTCTTAAGAGAAGCCTCCTTGGTTTATGTGCATAGTTTTTGTGAATTTTAATGAAGTTAACATGCAAAACACTAAGAAGGACCAAGTATATAAACTCTGTTATTTTCCTTTTATCCCTTTAATTTAATATCCTGCATTTTAACTTCATTCATATATGCTGATATACATTAATCTTTTTGTCTGAATTACTTAGGACCTTCCAAGGAGTTCCGTGTCCCATCAATTGATCCCAATGTATATCTTATACATCTTATATTTTAAGATGTGAAATATGCCTGTCTTTTTACTTTCACTGGTTGTAGATTTCACCTTGAAACTATCAGTTGTTTTGTGATAAGTTGTCCTCAGGCTAGTAAGCTTTGCCTTTAACAATACTAACAACAACGCATACTAATGATCAGTCGGAAGAAAGAATGTTTATGTTGGCATGCCTAAAGCAACAGTTAAAGATGACTGAAATTGTTTTAATGCTATACGTACAATCTCAAGCATCAACTTCACTGTCCTACTTTTTTTTTTTAAAAGTCAAATATACTAAATTGTTTCTGTTCTCTGTCACTGAACAACCAAATAAGTCCTCTATGAAGCAGCATGCATCCATAAAAAAATAAAACAGTAACACAACCTGCTGTGCATCCTCTTTCTCTCCAGTGACCTCCATGGAGTGAAGATAAATCAAAACAGAGGTGGATAAACATAAAGCAGGAGTTAACATAAAGACTGTTATTTCCTTTTCTAATGTGCATAAATAAAAGTACTGGGGATGATGTTATTTCTTTGACCTTTGTAATGCCATTGTCATTGTTAATTTCTGTGACAAACAGAAAAGTGTCCAGAGGAGTGCTAGATAAGAGCACAGGTCTATAAGTATGCTCTTTAGAGGGCATGTATGTAGGAAGGGAGAGTAACATTTTGTTTACAATATTTTCATCCACTTCAGACATTTTCCAATTAAGTTTTTTATTCTTCCTTCCACAGAATTTTCTTCTTGAAGGCTAGGGCTGGGGAAGAAAATACTTTAATTAATATGCTGGTAAAATACTCTTATACAATAAAGTGTTGGAATGGGAGAGGTGATGCAAAATGGAGGTCATCATGAAGGTTACTTACTGAGCGAACAGAATCGTGATGGATGAGCTAGCATGTAACAAATCTCTGCTAGAGCCATTTTTACCATGGCAGGGCGTTTTCATGCCTGTACTAATCCACCTTTTTTATGGGAGCTAGATGAAATTTTTCATTTTGCTAAAACTTTCATTTTAATTGCTGTCATTAACTGTTGAAAGATAATGCAATAATTTTATTTTATACTGCTGAACATTTTCCCCTTTATAATGCTTTCTGGAGAAGACAAGAGCGTTGATGTATCCGAGAGAATCTTTTTGGAAGCCTTCTCACCCCAATATTTAAAGTGAATTAGTGATATATTAAGTATCAGAAACTCAGTGATTGAGCAATAAAATTTCATTATATCAACACAGAATTTTATCTGTCAACTAATACACATGGGAATAACAGAGAAACTCTTCTTAACTATAAGCCAAAAGCATGAACTCTTAAGTTAGCTTTGCTAGTCAGCAAAGAGCTTGGAGGGCTCTCTGGAAAGCTCAGTCCAGGCAATTTCAGTCCAAAAAGCACCCAGAATATTAAAAAGAATGAGGAAGGATGGCAAGAACAAAACAGAATACATCAGAACCCTAGCATAGTATTGCATTACTGGGAATGTTAGGAATCTAAGTATTTGTAACACTGGTTTCTTCAAGAGGACAGACAGACAGAAGTCTTACCCAGTTTATTGATGTTAGAGAAAGTTTCTTGACTTTTTTTTTTTCTTTCTAAGCTTTGGCTGAAACTTATTAACTGCTCTGTGTTGTCTTTTCTGCTTTGTTTTCTGGATGAAACTTTTAGCAGAGTTTCATTATTGTTGACACTTCCAATTGTCCTTTCAAGTCCACATTTTATCATTTGCTGTTGTTTTAATCTGAATTTAAATGATATGAATACCTGAAAATTCAACATTTTCATATAAGTTTTCATTAACTAGCTTGCTTTAAGTAGCTTTTTAAGGAATTTTTGTTACCTGCAGTTGAGAGTTTCATTATCAGATTATCCTTTATAGCCATTGTATTTGGGTACTATTGAAAAGAGTAATGTGAAGAGATTTTAGTTAAACCATAAAAAATAATCAGCCTTCTGAACTATGTATTGGTGGAATGGAAAATATATATTCTGTATTGACTAGCAGAGAAAATTAACTAAGCTGCAAGAAAGCATGATAAATAACAGATGCCTTATTTTCATCAAAAAAATAAATGTTAAGTCAGACATGAAGTATTCATTCCTTGCTTAGAGAAAAATAGTCAATGCAACAGACAAATGGCAAGGTGCCCCAGATCTTGAAAATTCTTTGCATTCACTATATACACCATATAACAAATGTCTACCCTCATTGCAACTAAATTAGTTTCAGTAAAGAAATCCTGTATAATATTGAACAATTGAAATTAAATGCAAGTGAATAAAATGGAATAGTTATTTCTTGGAAATATACTGGTAAAATATTAGTAAGTAGAACAAATAGTATTTGCAGACATATAAAAGTAAATTTATTAATAAACGTGAGCACTACTAACAACTATTCAGATGTTCCATGTTGATTTCATGCATAATTAAATTGATTCACCTTAGTTTATGAACTGCTAAATCTACTTCTGATAAACACCAAGATTCACATTCAGGTCTATAGTGCTCAGCAAAATAGGCTACTTTCTTTAAAACAGCAGAAATTGGTATTATTTTAAAAGACAGGGAAACAATAATACACAGTTGTCAAAACAAAGCATCTCACGTTTAGCATTTTCTATACTACTTCTCCTAATGTGGCGAGACACCGTGTTCTTCAGCAAAGAAGCTGCCCCTTGAACTGGATGGCAAAACAGCTCAGTCCGTTCATCTAAACCATGCAACAGCACAGTGGATTCATGAATATCCACAGACCTTCACATTCCTCTGTATGCGAGGAGGCCAGTGCTGGTTTCTAGTCCTTTAAAAAAATGAGAGATCTGATTTCCAGGTGTCTGGTCCCATAGCAGATGTCTTCAGAAGGGTGTGCTTCTTCCTGTGGCAAACAGTCTTCATGCTCTTCTAATGAGTAGGACCTTCCTCCTGCGATTACCACAATTAAGAATGCCTCTTTTTGCTTTTATTGTTTTCCTGTAAGCCGTACAGTTTACCATTTAATCCTACCTATTCTACCCAATTCCAGCTAGTTAATGTCTGGAAGGGCACACTTTGGCCAGCCTTTCCTATTCTGCTTTCCCCTGCCTTGCATAACAGGACATGGTTTCTTTTTTTCTTTTTGCAAATCTACGCCAACAGATGTCCAATTTGTTATTCTAGATATTTCAGAAACCCTGCTCCCCCACCCCCTTCTTTTTGGCTATTCTCTAGTTTATGATTTTTTATGGTGTTTTGGCTTTTTGTGTTTTCCATCTAAGACTTTTTCCTTCCTTCTGTATCTAGCCTCCTAAGCTTGTTTTGTAACTTCCATGTAACGTTCAGTGTTTACTCTGTATCGTGCCTCTTCACTGCTAAAGATGCAGTTCGCGTGTAGACAGAAAGTAAGGAACAATAGCTGTGGTAGGAGCATATTTATCCAAAATGACATTGCCATATTTATATTTCTTTACAGTTATACCATGCAGTCTTTTACCCCTCCTGAGCCTGTCAACGCTACCTGCCTGACTATTGTAATCTTCAGCCCTTCCCCCCAAACTTTTTCACTACCGGTATTCCTTCTCCTCTCAGTTCCTTTCCTATACTTGGCCTTACACATCTATCCTAGTCCTGGGTTATCTTTTTAGTCTCACGTGCTCAGCATTCTCTTACTTCTCCCACTCAGAACCCTACGATTCACCATTTCATGCGCTTCTTGCTAGCTTTTCCCTTTCAATAATCACTTCACTCTCCAGCACCCAGACAGTTGCCATCTGTTTTGCCTTGGTTTCTATGTCTTGCCTAATGAGCTTGTCAACTTTTCGCAGCAGGGAACATTTTTATATTGGTACAGTCTTTTAAGCTTATGGCACTTGTATGTATGTTTTGTAATGATTAATTATATACCATGGATGGAAAACTGGTGAAATTATTACAACACGTGTATGCTAAAGCACAGTGCATATCTATAAGGAGATGAAGGATCTTTCATGCAAAGCTAGAGGCAGTGAAGAAACCCTTCCATTCAGTAGTTCATTGCTTTTGTGTTTGTACAGTTAACTCAGTCTGTAGTCATGCACAAGTCTTTCTCTCTCTGTTCCTATTTCCCAATTTATGAGATAACTCGTCTTTGGTAAAGTGCTTAGAAAGATATGACACTATATATATATATCTACTTTTTAAAAAATACAAAGTAAGTAAGTTTTATTCCAGGGTAAAGAAAGAGCAATGTCATGTGAAACTTCTTAATTTGTTACAATATTAAGAATTTAAGAGTCTGCAACCCTACAGAGCCTTGCCAAGTCCTCTATACCCTCCTCATTCTGGGGCTGCTTCAACAGTAAAAGAAGAATGTTTTAAATAAATTGAAACATCTCCTGGGAGAAGTAGTTCTCACTTTAAGTAGTAAGAGCAGATGTAGGACTTCATTGAACAGAACAGATGTTTGAAGTGCATTTTGCTTTTTAATTTTTTTAAATAGGCAAATTTAAGTTTCAGTCACTCAAGTTTTATTTGATAACTTTCATGCTTGCTTAGTAATTACTAAATGGGATATAAAAATTTAAGAGATTATTATACAAATGTCAAGTGACTTTTCAAATGAATGTTTTCCAAAGTCCTTGTTTATTGTTTTCAAATAATTGTGATGCTATGTTTTATATGCATTTTTCAGCATTTAATCATGTTTTCTTTCTTTTCAGCTTCTTAATTAAATGAATTCAAGAGGGATTCATTTAGAGCTGCTTACCATGAAGATAAGCTATAAGTGATATTATCTGCCTATGTTGTTTCATGTATTCAAGAATCTTTTGTTGGTTCATCTGTTTTTGTGATTATTTATATAGTACACTGATAGAGAAATGAATGCAGTTTTATGCAATGAATGTGTAATTTATAGAAACACACAGTAAACACCTCACTGGGAAGTGCTAAAAAGTTAATATAGCGTGCTCAAGAATTTAAATAAATTTCATTATAATGGGCTTCTGTTTAAGGCTTCCTCATTAACTTTAGTACATGATTCCAAAGGGTATCGGCAAGGTTTTTCACCTGAAGTTTGTTATAAGGTTTTGAGATGTGTTTTAGAACTGAACAAAGTATCATTGGTTCTTCAACTACTATCAAGAGAAATACATGGTGGAAACTCCAAGTTAATGACTAAATGCACCTTGCCGTCACTTTGCTTCGAAACAGTGTATGTATATATAGTCTCTGATCACCTCAGACATGTTAAGCAGTTAATATAAAATTATATTCTACATATTTTCCTCCTGGATTACTTCTTTTCCTGGCTCAGCAGTATTCAGAGTACATACATTGCCGGTTCGTGTCTCTCATGGCAAAGGATGCAATTCAAAATGGTTTGTGGAATCTTGAAGGTAAGAAGACTTAGATCAGTCAGAACTCAGATCCTCTTAAGCTGACTGTGGTGGCAGAATGGGTGGCTGAGGGGCAACAATGTTCTGGAATCCACAACATGCTTTTTTTCTTAAATAGTGGCAGAAGGAATGTATTACCCTGAATCATGTTTATAAAGCGCTACAGATGACTATTGTAACAGGAGTTACAGCAGGTGCCAGTTTTCTGTGTTCACCCAGCTTTGTGAAAAGCATATGTAGGAATTTTTAAATGCCATTTAAAAATGCCATTTTTGTAGCCGCTCACATCTCATTATGTGAATTGCTCATAAACCTTTGCATAAGCCTACATAGTGTATTCTCTGTGGCTCAGGAAACAAGAATTACATGATACTCTACTTCAGTCCTGCTTATTCTTTTCCTCTCTGCTGGTGCTTTTCTAAGTACCAGTTCAGTGTCACTAGCACTCCAGGACTGAAATCAAGATAGTGTTTCTTCATTCATGATATAGGAATGCACCTAAATATGAGGATGATTGATTGACTAGACTTTACAAAACTCACTTCATCTAATGCCCTAGCTGTTCCTTCTCCAGAAAATACCGTTAGGAACTGGGAAAGATTTTAGGACAAGAAAAAACAGGAAGGACAAGTTCTATCTTACACAAAAACAGAGCAAGACTGCTGGTGTGGAAATACTGCAAGGTTGTAGAGCAGTATTTTAAACTAGAAGCTGGGGGAAAGCTGACAAACTCAAAACACCTGGTTCCCAAACTGAAGGAGGTTGCAGCATTTTCAGAGGTGCTTTGGCTGTTAGCAAGGAAGGCACATCACATCACATAGTGTAGGGAACAATGCCAGTTGACTGGCATATGCCAGTGTGGTGAAGCTAGGGCAGAATTTGCAAGAGCTTTATGTCAGAGCTAGAAGCTTGAGAAATGGATGGAGGAATTAGAATCTGTGATATTGAACAGCCCTGGTATAACAGACATTCAGAGACATGGTAGGGAAAAAAAATAATCAGTAGGACACTGTTGCCAGGCTACTGACTTAAGAATGGCACAGCAGGATATGCAGGTGACAAAGTGGCACCATATGTGAAAGGTTACAGAGAGTGCAACAGTATGGATGTCTTCTTACAGGAAAAAAAAAAGCATAGCCATGGGTCTCCATGCTTGGAAGTCTGTACTGACCTAATTAAAAAAATCCAATTCTAAAAAACAATTAGAAGTGTGCTACTGATCCCTGGTCAAGATGACAATAGTGATCAGGAAGTGAGACTAGAGAAACTGCAAGTTTTCAGACAGGTAGTAATAATGAGAGATCTCAAGAGCGCATCCTACTGAGATTAAATATTTCACTGTGATAAGGTAAAGTATTCAATGATACATGCTTGCCTCCTGGAACAACTAGTAGATCTCAAATAATAACCAAAACAAAAGCAGCAGCTTGAGTAGTGCATGGGTACTAGCATAAGCGGTATTCATGGCAGAGCTACTCTGTACCAGCAAACCACAATCCCGTAGGGTTAATACTGTTGCAAGAGAGGACAGTCAAAGTGAAACCTGAACTAATAAATTGGAGCAATGTGGAAATAAAGGCAGTTAACAAAGCAAACAAAAACCTCGCAACAAACAGCAACACAGAAACAGTCCTAATAGAAAGATGCCTACAACCAGCCTAGGGGCTGTTAAATATTCTGTTGGAAGCCCAGGTAAAACGTGCTGCAACTCAAAAAGAAATAAAAAATACTTATATGGCTCAATAGGAGAGTTACTCAGAGGGAGGTCTGTGTTTTGAATGCTGCCAAGGGGAACTGAAAAACTCACAGAACCTCACCTGTAAACACAACAGGTCTGAAACAATAATGTGAAGATGATGCTCACAGTGGTAGCATGGTAGCACAGATTTCTTTAAATGCATCAAAAACAGGGGACAAGGGAATTAATGAGAGCTGATGACAAATGTTTAAGGGGCACCCACTGATAAAGACTGACAGAAAAGCCAGATTCTCTGTAGCAGCTAGGCCAGGTGATCTAGATCAACATGGTCTAGACCTTCTGTGTAATTGCTTTAAATACATAAGGTAGGTGCTGGTAAGATCTCAGGACCAAATGGCATTTATCAAAGAGCTCTGAAGGAAGTCAGATGTGAGGTTGCAGAACTGCTGGGCAAGGTGCCTTCACCTATCATTACAGATTGTCTCTGTGTCAGAGGACTGACAGATTGCCAACACAGCTGTCATCTATAAAAAGAAGAGTCTAAAGGGAAGACTGAGTGTCATGGCTTAGCTCCAGCCAGCAACTAAGCACCATGCAGCCTCTCACTCACCTCCGCACCCTGAGGTGCAATGGGGGAGAGAATCGTGGGAAAAAACTTCATGGGTTGACGTAAAAACTGTTTAATAGGACAGCAAAGGAAGAGGAAGTAATAATATTACTGGTAAAGGAGTATACAAAAACAAGTGATGCACAATGCAACAATTGCTCACCATCTTGTGATTGATAGCCCATCCCCAAACAGTGACTCCCACTGCCTGGCCAGCTCTAGTTCTAGATGCTGAGCATGATGTTATATGGTATGGAATATCCCTTTGGCCCAGCTGTCCTGGCTATGGTCCCCTCCCAGCTTCTTGTGTACCTCTTCACTGGCAAAGCATGAGAAGCTGAAAAGTCCTTTACTTAGGATAAACACTACTTAGCAACAACTAAAACATCAGTGTCTTACCAACATTATCATCATACTAAATCCAACACACAGCACTATGCCAGCTATTAGGAAGAAAATTAATGCTATCCCAGCCAAAACCAGGATACTGAGCTACAGACCAATGAACAATTTCCAGTCTTGATAGGATGGTTGGACTTGATGATCCTAGAGGCCCTTTCCAACCTTAATGATTCTATGGTCGAGTCTGCAATAAAGAGTAAATTTACTGAGCGTAAACAGCTGAGAAAGGTAAGGACTTGTCAAAAAGAGAATTTAAGTTCATAAAGCTTGTAGAAGGCTACAATAGCATCAGAAAAGCACATGGATAAAAATCTTTTAGCAAGACTTTATTAAACAACCTCATCTGGAATTGGGAGAAGTGCCTTGAAAACCAATTAAAAGATACCAAGCAAAGGACAAGGCTTAATGGTCAGTTCTTATGACAGAAGAGTAAGCAATGGGACCTTCCCGAAGACTGGTGCTGGGACCGCTTGAATACATCTTCATCAGTGACACGTAGAAGGGCAACCAGCACTATAAACTCATACGATGCTATGCTGATGGGGAGAAAAGTCTACAAGAACTTCACAAAACTCAATGAATGGGTAAAAAGTTGGAAGATAAGCAACAATGCATCTGGAGAAAAATAAATCATGCCTTATTCAGCTAAAACTCAGAAAACTGACAGAAGAGTCACAATTTTAACAGAATCGTCATTGTGTACTGACAGCCAAGATGATGTTTGGTATCATCAGTAGGAGTATGGTTAACAAAACAGAGGACGACACTTTGCAGCTACACAAAACCTCTATGCACTCCTGTAGAGCGAGTGCTGCATGTAATTCTGATCTACAGTTCAAGGTACAGAAAAAGGCACTGGGAATTGATCAGGGAGATAGAGTCTGTCCTTATGAAGGGACACTGGGAGGACTGGAACTCTTCACCTGGAAACGAAAAAAAATGAGGATTGAGTATGATCATGGCGTACAAGTTTATAAATGCATTAGATTAGATAAGCTAACTGCAAAACATTCATCACATCCTGCAATGCTAGAACCAACATGCAGCTTATTTAAAAGGAAGTACATCCCTAAAGGTGAGGCAAGTATGCACTGTTTACCATCCTTAATACACTAATTTTGGATGCTGGAGAAAGTATGAGGGAAATGGACTACATTGTCTCTAAATAGTATCTTGAATCAGCCAGAACACTGACCTAGATGGGCTTTTGGTCTGACCTCCTAAAGCATTTTGTAAGCTCCTTAAGAGCTGTGGAGGAGGCAGGAGGTGACATTAAGACCTGCATGATCTACTGCAACTTTTTTTCCTCTTGACAGCACAAATAAACAGGCCTGGAAGGCACCAGCAATCAAGGAGGTGGCAGGCATAGGTGTTGGCAGAGCTCAGGACGATAAGAATCATTTGAAAAGACCCCAATCCCAAGGTGTGTGGTCAGGTAAACCCTGTGGGAAAAAAATACAAAAATTAGCAGAACACACAGAGCAAGGTATTTAGATCGCAAGACCTGAGTGACAAGTACACATACAACCATGTTTTCAAATATATACAGAAATGTGTCATTAACAACTTCAAGACGTGTTCATCACATGCAATGCATCAAAAACCTTGGGATCCTCTTTTGATGCTAATGCACAACATTTTAGGAAGTGCTGGAATGAATGCTATTTGTTGTAAGATGCAAGTCTTTCCTCCCTGTTACATTTGTAACGAGCTGGTAACTCAGTTCCTGTCATATTTTATAGGTGATCACATCCAGTGTTATGTATGTATTGCCCTAACTATAGCACTCACATTAGTACAGGGACAGGTTGGAGTTTGATTTAAAGAACAAATGGAAGCAGCGAGAAACACCACAAGCTGTAGCACAGGAAATAAGAACTGCAAGTCTACATGCATC